GGGCCCGGGAGAGCCTGGCCCCGGGCCCTCGGGCAGCGGGGAGCCGGTGCTCGGGCGAGGAGGCTGCAGCAAGCACAGCTCTGGTGCTGCTGTGGGCTGGGCCTGCTTCAGGGGCTGCCCCCCACCGTGTTACCAGTACTGAGCTGGAGCTCATCCGTGGGCATCGTCCTTGCACGCTGCTCTGTACGTGGTACTGCTTCACTCTCCCCTCCCTTGGGTTCTTCCTCACTGTGCCCCTCTTCCTCTGTCCATTGTTGCCCAGCTCCTTTGTGGGTCTGTGTGTTGCATTTCCACTCTTGTGTGCCCCAAGCCTGTCGCTGCTGTCCCCCAGCTCCTCTGCTCTGTGCCTCTGTCTAAACGGCTCCTGTCCAGCAAACCAGTCACTGACCTGAAGCTAATCACTGGCCCTAGCGTATATTCTGCCTTCCTCTGTAGCATAGCTTCTGGTCTCAGCCTGTTCCGTGCCCTTTCCAGGGTGAGTTACTTCATCACACCTCTGCCCACGCTCCTGAGGCAGCCTGCGCTGGGAGCTGCAGGAGGGAGCGTCCTTTGTTGTCTGTTTCATCCCATCACAGAGGTGGTGTAGCAAGTCAAAAGGGAGGTTTCCCTTTTTAATGAAAGGGAATTTTTCTGGGCTTCTTTAGAAATCATAGAAACATTAGCTCTAAGACTTACGACAGAATTTGCAAGAGTTTGACAACTGTGCGCCACAGTGCGTTGGCTGAGGCAGCTGATAATTTTCTTATTCAGTTCTGTGTTGTGAGTGATTGTCATCTCCTTTGACTCTGACAAAACAAACAGTAAAGGAGATGGGATAGCAGAAGGCTTTTTGTTGATTTTTCATTTTAGGGTGCAAGAACTGGTGTTCCGTCAACAGCTCACATACAGCAGCCATTATTGTGTATTTATTAACTGGCCCTGAGCCGTCATTTGGCTGCCCATCAGGTTCCCTTTCTTACTCGTCCTTATGGAAAAGGACTGCCTCATATTTTTATTTTTCTGTTTCTGCGAAGTTGTTCCTAGGAGCAAGTGAACACCGAGGGTGCAGAGGTGGGCAGGACAAACAGACGACGGGGACTGGAATTGCTAGGGAAGGAAAACCTCACCTAGCAGTGGATGTTGTGCAGGGGTGCTGACTGTTTTTATGAGCCTAAAGCGTTATTATAATGTAATGATCTTTAAGAACAGAATCCTGAAAACAAACTAGAGGCCTAGCCACCTTCCCTATTCTTCAAGAAATCCTTCAAACAGTTCTTTCTCTTCAAATAACTACCTGCTTAAGTGCCCTGTAAAAGAGTGATTATCTTCATCTCCACATAGACCTACGTTAAGCCCACCAGAGTTGATCTGTTAATATGTAATCCCCTTTTTCCTTTGCTCAGGTGGTCTTTGGGTTTTGTCAGTAGGCTTTTTCATTTGAACAAATTTACTCTTTTCCCCTTCGGCACTTTTCCCGCTAACGTTTGATCTATATGTGATTATGAAATCTCGCTTGCTTCCATACTCTTGAACTCCCCAGGGTATAGGCCTGTGAGGCTCTCGCAGTTATAAAGAGCCCTCTAGTTCAAGCAGGCAATGCTACACTGTGCGAGAACAGAGCAAATACCTGCCAGAACCCCTCGTTGCTCACTACAATCAGGTCTTCACCTATGGGAGTGTGTGTATTTATAGCCTTGTCACAGAACATCATAATTAGATGTGCCCATAAGGCAGCCAGAACCCATAGCATTGTCACAGCTCAGGGACCCCATTATTAGTACTGTGTCATCAGAGGGTTAGGCTGCAAGCAGATAACCTCTCTAATACAGCGATACTTTCGGGAATTAGCCAGGATTCCATTTTGGAGTGATTAGTTTTTCATCTGATGCTAATGCTATGTATGTTCTGTGTTGTTGCTCTGAAGACTAAAGTTGTCTTTTTCACTCCCAGAACAGGTACAGTTTCCACATCAACAAAAGCAAAGCTGCTCAGGAGGAGCCACTGCTATTTGATCTCTGTAAACTGCTGGTGTTCAGTCTCCATGAACAGTTTTGTCAGTGGACTTGAATGAGACTGCAAAGGTAATTGAAGGATTTGTTTTATGATCTTCATTCCTGCCAACAAAAATAAAAGGTTTAGAAAACGAAAAGACATTCTCTCAGAGAACCTGTTCAGTTAGTTACAGAGCTAAGTAGTGACTTCTTGGTCCACATTTGTTTTAAGTCACTGCAGATCTTGATTTGCCTCAAACAGCCAAATTAGAGGTGAAATTGTTGGCTGAGAACTGAAATTTGGCTCCTTATTTCCTTCCCTTGAGCCACCCAGTACCCCACAAATTTTAGTTAGAGATAATGGAGAGGGACACAGGGCTGTTGGATTCATAGGAGCTGACTCAGGCTGAGTAGAAAGTATTCATTAAATACCTGTTTAATTACAGAAATATCAAGCTGACTACTTCTAGTTCAGTGCTGTGTGTTATTTCAAAGATATGACATACTGATTTAAAGGGTTTTCGCTGGAATACTTTTATTAAAAGCATAGGAAGAGAAAGGTAAGAGTTAGTGGATTTTAGAATGGAAAGAGTTAAATCAAAACTTAATGTCAAGAATTTTCCTTTGTTTCTTCTCCCTGGTTATATGAAGTTCTTTGTATAAGAAATTCTTTTCTTGACACTGTTTCATGGTATGAGCTGCTCGTGACTGGGGGGGTGGTAGAGGGACAGCGGATTTAATCAGTCTTCAGTTATTGGAAACGGAAGTTGTTCCCTTTAGCAAAAAAAAAAGAAAAGAGAGGAAAAAAGGCTTTGTCTGCAGGAGGCAGACAAAAGATGTGTTTTCTTGCTTCTTTGAAAATTAGCTATGGAGAGTTGCACATGTAGCACATGCTCTCCGAGAGCTCGCAAACCTTTATGCCTGAGCTTTTTAATGACCTTACTGAGTTTGCTTTTCTGACCACAGGCTCGGTTTTGAGAAATGGGGGATTTGCCTGATGCTTATTAGGCAGGAGGCGAGAGGAAAGGGGATGGAGATGGGCAAGGGGAAGAAATAGCAGGGAGGGGTGAAAGCCAAAGCCTCCAGTTCCCAAAGGAGCTATGAAGACCTGTTTTTCTTAGTTTGAACTCACAGGCTTGAAGCAATTGTCTTTACTCCTTGTTAAGTTGAATTTACATATTCAAATGAACTCATTCCCTTTGACCTACTTTGGCCAGCTTAAACTGTAGGCCGGTGCACAATGAGGAAAGGGGAGGAGTTTTTCTCAAACTATGAATTCCTTTATTGTTGCTGGGATCGGTCATGCATATCTGTAATGCCTGGGATCGAATCTTTAGCTGTACCTAATAAACATTAGGCAGTGCTCAGGGCAGGATTTGCATTGCAGATGCTTGCAATCCTGTTACCTCCTGTCCTATCCAACACTCCCATCGCATTACTGCTTCTCTCTGTGTTCCCCAGGCTTCATGAAGTCAATTATTCAGGTTTTGTGTGCCCAGCTGACTCATCTACGTGTCATCATGCCTTCTCTGCTATCAGGCCTCTCCCTGAAATCCCACAGCCTCCTGTCTTTGATTACAGGCCTTGTTTAATCTGAATTGGAAATTCTTTACAGTGGGGACCATATATCAGTCTATATACATGACATTAGTGTGTATGTTTCTGATGGTTGACCTGTGACATTTAATGAGAGCCAACAGCAGAATACATGGGTGTGAGTGGTCACTGCTGTGCCAGCAGTGTGTCTTCACTGGGGGAGGAGTAGGAAAAAGTGGAAAATAGGCCTTTTGGATGGATCCTAATAAAGGCCTGGAAAATTCAGAAGATGAAGGTTTGTGCTGAGCCATGCAGATGAGCAGAGGAACTCTAATTAAAATACAGACTCTGTGTTGTTCTCAGAAACTGGGCAACGTTCCCCATCTGAGCTCTGCCAACATATCTCAATCCTGGACTTAGCACCCACTGCTGCTCTGCTCTGTAAGACACCCACTCAGCTTGGCCAGCGCATCTCAATCTTGATCTGTAACACCTCCTGCTGTTCCAATTCTGGGCCCTTTTTGAGCAGAAAATGCCATCTCTCTACTAAATTGTGCCAAATTGCTTAGTTTTTGGCCACAGAACTCATTTTCACTTGTCACCTAATGGGATACCTGGAGGCTTTCATCTAGCACTGTCAGCAACAGAGAAAAAGAACATGTGAATACCCAGCCCCCTGCTAAGTCCCCTAATTATATAGTGATGTGTTAATAACAAACACACTTTCATGTCTTGGCAGTTGCAAAACATTCATTGGTAGTGCAGTGCTTTAGAAGTAGCATCGCACAGGAAAGATGCAAGTCCCAGTTTAAATTACTTAATTAGTATCAATATAAGCTGTACCCAGAATTAGAGTTTGGAAGAAGTGCCTAGTATGAAGCTGTCAGATGCCAGTTGTTTGGATGTTCTGCAGAATCTGAACCACCACATTAGAGAGGTTTGCTGTTGCAGAAGTGAGTGTTTCTGGCAGAGAATCTCTTTTACCTCCCACCCTGCCTCATGATTATAAATCTGCCTTCCTTGGGGGCCTCGCCATCATCCATTTTTTTGAGAACTCAGCAGTGGGGGGTGGAATGGCTTCCATCTTGGCTGAGACACCAGGGCTGGAGCTGGGAACATCCAGATCCAAAATTATGCATTTCTTTCAATTTGAGCCAAATTGCTGGATTCTGCAGTGCTGATTGCTCACGCCCTGTGGTGATCAGCCTGGCTTTCAGCAGAATACGCAGGAACTGGAGCAAGCGTGAGCCACCATGTGTGCTGGTGAACACCCTGAGCAATTAGAGTTCGTGGCAGTGACTGCCTGAGTTCAGGAACAATCGCCTTGTTTCTGGAGCAAATGGTTCAGACCAACAGAAATGGAAGAACTAAAAACTGTGGGAAGAAGACGGGTTAGGAAATTATCATCAAGAGAGAAGTGAGAAAACTTTGGCAAGAAGATGTCTTGATGGCATTTCCATTCTTGCCCTGTGAGACTCCAAGTGTGACTGCACCAACTGCAATGCTGTCAGGCCAGCTAAACCCCTATTTATCTGTCAGGTTTGGCCCTGTAAACAGTCACGTGAGAGTTATTAGATGTATTACAGGTGGCGTTGTATACTGTCCAGAAGAAAGGGTGGGTCTATATCTTATATGGGCAATGCATATGGACAGAGCAA